AGCGCCGCAGTCAGGTGAAGGTGATCGAAGATATCGCGCAATTGAATACGGTGAAAGGAGATTACTAGGTAATATAAGTTGAAAAAAAAGTCTTCTGTGTTTCTCGGAATATCACTGACTGTTTCCTTCATTTCCTCTATGATTCCTCGAATATTTAGGACCATGAAATTTTTCGGTGTCGGTAACTATCTGGCCTAGACAGAGAGGAGAGTCTCAGTCGAAACTCAACTCTACACTCCCCCCTCTCAATCCAATGAATAACACGGGGCTCTATCGAGGAATGCTTACCGCCGCACAGGAAATCTGCGGGGTGTTCCGTTGCACTCCTCATAAGCTTTCCGTGATTCCCTAACTGGACTTCAACTTGCATCGATTAGTTGGGCTGAACGATCTCGCGGGACCGAAGGCTGGGCTCAATACCATTTCTCGTATCCTTTAACCTGCTATCCAGGCTACATAGGGTAGAGATACGTGAAATACGAACGGATAGAATCCCGCTCCAGAGAACCCGGCGCTTTGGCAAGGGAGTATCGGTAATGGGAGAGCACAAGAACATAAAAATCGGATGTCATAATCCGGGAAAGATGTGGTCATCCTACGATCGATAGCTTCGAGACTCGAAAAAATGCATAGTCCGATGTTTTCTGGGAATCACGTGGGGAAAGAACTGAATGAAATTAGCGCAATGAGTGAATGTACAAGAACCTCGTTCCCGACGTCGAATCCTGCGGGGATGGATTGATTGATTTCATCGATTCAGATACTCGGTACCTTTGATCACGCACACCCAACTCTGCGCCGCACACGGAGCCGGCCTTCGAATGCGGCGTCCGCTCCACGGGTCAAAGCCTCAATTCGATCACACGAAAAAAAACCTCGTGGAAAATCTAGGCCCTCAACGAAGAGCAGTGAAGTTCGCCCGAGTATATGTACGTACTCCTCCCTCCGTGGGAACGTCATGCCGAAGACCTGCCTTGCTCGGTATGTTTTCCATCATCTCTGCAGAATCGTGCAAGTTTCCCCCTTGTGAGGGCCCGAGAGCAAAGAGAATCAGAATTCGGGGAGTCTAATTCATCAGCCTAGAGAGGCCTCTCTCGCCCCGACATCATCATAGATCCCATTGTACATAGCAACGAAAAGTAGCATCAATTATTATCGTCATCAACGCCTTTTTATTCACATCCTTAGTCGATATCGATGATATCGCGCTCCATAAATAAAAATATCCTTTCTCGATGAAGTTGAATCGATGCGTATCTGCTTCTATCGAGCATTCATTCCAAGTCGAGTGGGACAGTAACTCTTCCGCTGGTCTCAGCGCTCACGACTTCGATGATTTTTCATAGAAGTCGCATATCGAGGATAAGTTAAAACGGATTGGACGTAGCTTCGTGCTTGCATTAAGTGTACGTAGGTTAATCCCAAAAGTCGTGCGCGGTATCAAAAATAGGTTCTTACTCAACCGTGACGGACTTCGCCAAGTTCCGCGGGCAGTCCACATTGTAGCCGCGGAGTACTGCTATGTGATACGATAACAGCTGCAGGGGATTACAGAAAGAATTCCTTGCAGGCAGTCGACAGTGCCAGGTACTTGGAGACTTTTGTAGGCCATGCTGGTCGTCTCTCGATCGTCTTTCTGACAGATGACGATTGGCTTCCCGCCCCGCGCAAGAACTTGTTGCAGAGCATTGATGCACTTCGAGTACACGTTGTCGCGACAGATAACCATCACGACCGGCATCTCATCATCGACCAGAGCGAGGGGACCGTGCTTCAATTCTCCGGAGAGAATTCCCTCGGAATGCATGTACGTGAGTTCCTTGATCTTCAGAGCACCTTCTAGACAAGTGGCAAAATTAAATCCACGACCCATGACCAAAAGGGATTTGTTGTGATGCAGGTGTTCAGCCAGTGCTTGCACTTCATTGTCGAGTGCGAGAACCGTTTTGATCTGATCAGGAAGATTTCGGAGTCCCTCGACGATCGCCTCCCGACGAGGTTTCATGGAAAGCCGATCTTCACACATCATCAAGGCGATCATGACGAGCGAGATGAATTGGGAGGTGTACGCTTTCGTTGATGCAACTCCGATTTCGGGACCGGCGTTGATATGTACTCCGCAGTGGGATTCGCGGCAGATTGAGCTACCCACAGTGTTCGTGACTCCGACGACGAGGGCGCCCCGAGTCTTGCAGTAACGCAAGGCGACCAGGGAATCGGCAGTTTCTCCCGATTGGGAAATGAATATACAGACGTCATCTCGGAATATGGGGGTGTGTCTATCCAGGAAATCCGATGCCAACTCGACCATGACAGGGAGTTCGGTCAGTTCCTCCAGGATTTGACGCGTCTGAAAAGAAAAGAAAAATTTTCTCATCGAATCATTCCATGAGCCCGCGGAGCCCCGATATGCTCCTGCAAGGTTCGATTGCGACACGTCAGAGAGCTTCATGAGTTCCCGCTTACAGCCACTGCGCTGTGGTAACTGGTGCCGCAGCCGATGAGCAGAAGTCGTCTGCAACGTTTGATCTCGGGAAGATAGTCGATGATTCCTCCGAGTATGACCTGGTTGGTTTCGAAATTGACGCGACCTCTCATGGTGTTGATCACAGACTCTGGCTGTTCGAAGATTTCCTGGAACGGGGGATGGAATGTTCAGACGACAACTGAGGCGCGAGGCTTCGTAGGGTCAAAGGAAGTGACTCCTCTGCCTTGATTCGGACTTGTCTCGCACTACAATCCGGAAGGAACTCCGAAGCTCATTGATTCATGATCGAGATCTCACCTTCTGCATGAAAGAAGAATAATTCCCCTTCATGATCTGTTGGATCTCCATCTTCAAAGTAATAATTTCACGGTTCACATTGTCATCGAGACATCTTTTCACGCGATGGATCGTGAGATGGCCATCGGTCACCGCTGCGACGTCATCATCCTCAAGATACAACACCCTGGAATTGGATGACCGTTTCCGTCAATGCTCGAGTGCGCCGAAGCGTCATGGATATCGAGGATCAAAGCGAGACGGGCATCTCCGCTTGGGGAATGACAGCGGACTCTCGAATTCCAGGAGATAATTTCGGGAAGAAGTCTCCCATGAGAGGGGACGACCTCGCCAGTCGCCAGGGTACCTGCCCCTCCGCACCTGTTTGTGTGCTCAATGATTGCCGATGCATCTGACGCGAAGAAATACTCAATTTGCTTGTCTTCCCCCTCCGGTCCGAAGTCCGTCGTGGACTGGCTCCTTTGAATACCGTTGATGGTGAGCGGAGCATGCACAGTGTCGGCAGCGCGCACTTCTGAAAAATCATCACTCGGAGTGAGTGGAGGCTGTGGGTTTTTTTAATCGAAGCCACGCGCAGGCCATGCTCTTCGAAAAACTTCCCCGGACATCGACTAGTTCCGCTTTTCGTATGTAGGTAGCACCCCATTCAGCATCAGACCACAGCTACTCCATCGACGAGCATTCACGAACAAACGGGACCATGTATCATATGAAGCATTCATCCTCGAGAACGAGCCAATGCGGGAGGGTGCAAGGGGAGGGGTCGGCAAGGAATGATTCTCGCGACGACGAAGATTATTAGTCTCTCTCAGGAGGCTCGAGCGACACCCTGTCCGGTCAAGAACATTGCACGAGCTTCTAGAATAGACTGAGCTCCAAGAGGAAGTCGGAGGACAGGAGGTTCACGGAGGGATCGTATCGGCAACAGGAGGTTCATTAGAAACTCGGAGACACAGCGTTCAGAGACAATTTGTTAGTGGAACATTGTTCCACGGACACCAAGATTGTAACAGTCTGTACTTACTAATCTGGTCTGCAAAGAGAAATCAATTTTGAGAAAAAGTACGGACGATAAAGTGTCGAGGAATCGGTTTCGAATCTTCTCCCATGTCTGCGTGAGCCATGATCTCCGGAATGAAGTCGAGTGCGTCAAATCTGATGCTACACAATCTATCTTCAAAGTAAGAGGCGCAAGGTTGCAAATGAGCCAGGCCAAAAAACAAACTTCTCACAAACTAATAGAAGGTGAACAAGGCAAACACGAATTGTGGAGGAAAAGTCGGGCAGACGTTCAGTTCTAATCAGCTACCAAATTTGTTCGATTTCTGGTTTCCATGCAAAATCGTCGAACCTGGCCTGGTGAGTTCACTCCGGAGTTCAGAACTCGCAAACGCCTTTAACTCACTATGAATTGACCACGGGCCTCCGGCCTTGATTACTGTACAGCCTGTTCCGGTAGCGAATTCGTTAATGGTTTCGCCGCCTCGACCAGAGATATGAATTCTATCACACTTTTTCACCTCCGTCTGAGGACAATACGAAAGGTTTGCGAGAACCGTCTTTGAGGGGAGGACCGTCATTGTCGCGAGCTCACCTTTTCCGTACAAAACGGGAATGTGCGTTGAAAGTTCCTCTTTCGTCTTGATGCCGACTAGGAGAGGCGAACCGCGTCTTGAAGCGAGAGAATCGAAATTAACCGCTATACCAAGAAAAATCGTTCCGGGCATAGGACCCAAGTTCGTAACTTCCAGTCTACAATCGTCAATGCGATCATCGATCGATGTCTCACCTCGTGGCCGCGCATTGATTGAGAAACCTCGAGCTCTTGAAAATGAGAGCGAAGGCTCCTTCTAGTTGCTGAATTGTTTGTTCGATCAGTTCCCGGAAGCTCAAGTCCGGATGCGCATCGGGAAGATGTTTCACGAGCTTCACCAGGACCTCGGTATCGGTGTCAGATTCGAATTCAAATCCTTTCTGAATCTGGAAAAGTTTTTCAATGATTAAATCATCACAAACTTTTGCCGGGGGTGGGCAGACTCAAAGAGTAAGAAGCTATGATTCCGTTTTTCCGCTTGGGTCGGAGCAGCCGCTAACCAGAAACTGTTTGATGTCCTTATAATTGGTGATGATCCCGATGATACTGTCAATTAGTGTATACAGTGCCTATTATCATGAGTTGTGAGCTACATACTACGAGAAGAAGGTAAGAGATGAAATTCATATTGAATGGGCTCGTGGGAGCACGATCACGGCTCCGAGGTCACTAGGGACCGGAAAAGGATACCCTCGTGCTCTCTTGCTTAGGTCCTCCTCGAGGGGAACTAAATTCAAGTCCGGAACTCACGGTGATCACAGTAAGTCTGACGAGAGACACAAAATGAGGGAAAGCAATGGCACTCCCTGTCCGAAGCTACTGTATGCGACTGAGTGAGGCTGCATTCCATAGAGGAGCTCCATGGGTACACCGCACGCAGACGAACTCTGGAATCAGAAAATAGAACCCGGTAAGGATGAGAGCTCTCGACCTCGAGTCCGACCGAGCCACTCTTCCTCGCAACTCTAAACTCTCGGAGCGATAGATCACTCCGTAGACAAGATCTTCATCCACCAACCATTGCTAACGTCGCTGCGCTGCGGATGGGAGTTCCGATCGGAAGGCGCTCCGTGAGTCGCCCATCGGGTGTGAGCGATTCCGAGGTGACTGTCCAAGGTACGATCGAAGTCAATCTCCTCGGACTCGAAAACCGCGTTTTCCAACACAGCGACCTTGCCTTCCTTCCGAATGACCTTCACCTGGACAGAGTAAGTTAACACCGTGAGTGCTTCCGACCCCTTGATAGACCTCATGGGATTGATGGAGTGTCATTCTCGCACCGCCGCCAATTATCTATCTGAAAGATGCGTTGGCCCCGACCATTGTTGAGATCTCAAACGTGGAGAGATTTTTTCGGAAAGATCTTTGGACTTCCGAGAAGAGGGTCACGGTCGCGACTGTCTTCCGCGACTAATTCAATGCTGCCGGACCTTTCCGGAGGGAGCCTTGAGTGCATGAATACCATCCGGGCGCTCGCGCCCGCTCTGGAGAAGCATGACGTACCTGACCGAACCTCGAGGAAAATTTGGCTTCCTGGGACTTCCATCGAGCCTTGTGAAGCCCGAGCTCAAGCTCGCGAGCTTGCGATCCGTACTCAAGGGATTCGCTTTTCGTTACTTATCCCGTCAGTACCCGGAAATCTCGGACTTCGAATGCTTCTTCCAAGTTCACATGGCCATCTCCACGAGTCTAGGTTAGGATTAAAGTTCTAGGCTTTCTGACCATAGGCAATCACGCACCATGAGCGAACCTTTCCAAAGCCGATAGGTGGATGATATCGTTGGGGAGAAGTCTGCTCAGATCTCTCCAAAAGTCAGAAAGCGATGTTTGGTTATTCCTCAGACAATTCATAACAACGTTTTACGTGTGAAACTCGTAAATCACCACCTCATGAGCATTTTGTGCAGGAATAAAAGCGGATTCTCGAATGATTCCTCCGAAGACTTCGGCTAGTCTCGGAGTCACTCCCTATAGCTTTCAGTCAGAGGTTCGCCGTTAGTCCATCATGCACAACAATATATATTCTCAATCTATCACTTGATTCACGCAGACGTCAGAAACGAATGTCGGATCAGATGTTCATCGCTCAGCATCCCGTCCGAGGAGCTAGAACTTTCGTGAATCTCCTTTGATGTGATGAATGAAGCCAACTGCCTCCGGAATTCAATGAGCTTGGATGCTCTATTTCGGCCCACCCTTCGGATATTCGAGAAATGAATTCCGGTTTGCCCAATCCCCAATCCTTTCGTTCTCCGGTTGAGCGTCGGCTCGGAGTTCCCACGGCCGGTGCCCGGCCAGCAATCCCAAAGCGATTCGTCATCGAGAGGAAATCATACGCTTTGTCGAAAGGGAGTCTCGCGCTCGGAACTTCGCATGATTCCCCGTTAACTCTGACTCCCTAACATCGACAGGGAGACGCTCGGCATGAGACGGTCAGACCGTACACACTCGAGGCTCGCTGCCGATCAGGCCGTATTTCTGTCCCGGTTCCAATGGGGGTATTCGTATCTCTGGGCTTGCTCCGACGTTGTGAGAATGATTCACAGAGGCGAACACGCGAAACATCGCGCTTCCTGAATGATCCGGAGACCGGTTGACGATCAGCTGAGGGTTATG